GTCAGTGAACATTTGTTCATTTTATCCGGATAACAATTTGTCATTCGGAACTATCCGAGCCCTGTAAAGTTGTAATCCGTTCCTGAGTATCAGAAGCATTATTATATATTAAAGAATATTATTTAAATTAGTCAGTTCAACATTTATCCTGGGTAAGCGTTTTTTCCCCCTTTTTGCCACATATTACATAGGTCTGGGAGCTCCGAACGTTTAGGCAGGGTGCTAGGTTGTGGTACACACTCAACTAGGGCACAGTACTGAATTATATCCCTTTGTAGTGTGTGTTCCTGTTGTATATACCTTATCGGACCTTATTTGAACGCTGGAGGCCCTAGCGTTCATGTTATTTTTAATGTCCGTTCAAATAATTTCCGTCCGTTTAAGGTCCGTCCAAATTAAAATCCGTTGAATTTTTGTAGTGTTGTTTCTATGCTGCTTCTCTTCAGGGAACCGACCCCTGGTGTCTCATCTTAGAGGTGATTTAGGTATTTTCCGGATATACGGTCATTCGATACTCAAGATCCTTCAGTGCTAAAGATAGATAGTGTAATTAGTCAATCCTACCATTGAATTTTCAAGAAATTACTATCTTCGGCATTATATGGTCATTGGTTGATTCGCCCTTACGCTCAAATAAACAAAAATCTGAAAGTTCCTACTTTCATGTGTAACCTTTGGCTTTAAATATTCCTAGTATTCGTGAAATCCATGGATTTTTTTAATTTAAAGAGGCTTGAAAGATTTACCAATTCAAGTTACAAATAATATTAGTATTCGCCAGTTTAAAAGATTCTCGTATCGTCCTGAATCATGTCTGATTGCATTTCCATAACTTTTATAACAGGACTCCTAGAGTTCAGATTTCCAATTTATTCGAGGTAGAGGGGTATCGTTTTCATCATTATATTCACGGTAAACAGCAGAATTGACCACATGCACAATATTAATATACTAAAGCCACTTTGAAAAAGACATAACACTGATTCAAATTTTTCTGTTTAAAAATTGAAATTCTTTGCGCGGCTTTCTAACAATTAGTATCACCACCCAAAATACAACTTAATAACTGTTTATATTAGATCATACAGTTCATACTGTTTATATTAAGTCATATACTGTATATTTTTAGATGCAATTTACATTAAACAGATGTCAGTCAGGTTTTGCGGAGTAGCACTGTTAAGTACCTAAATGGAATGTGCCCCCGATTATAAAATCATAGGATTTGAAGTAATCCGAGCATGGGTTCTAGCCTTGAACTAATCGTGTATTTGATTAATTGAACAATAGGTGGATAGGCAACACTCTCTAAGTACCTATAACTTGGTGCACGCTCGTTTGGGTACTGAGGGGTACTTGTCCTTTATTAGACAGTTCATTGTCATTAATACCATTACCATGTCCTGAGGGAGTGTTATAAATAGCTCACACAATTTACTGGTCGTTAAACTAGTCGTTATCTAGCGTTGTGCAGCGCGCTCCTTATGTACTCCGTAACCTGTAACATTATACGGAGTAGGCTCTGTGCGGGTAGTAACACCTGGTGTAGAGGAGTTCGTTACTTTTCATTTATTCTACTCGTCGCATACTGTAACTATTCATTATATCACTTTTAATTGCTTAATCGGTTATAGGTTAGAATTTTCATTTTCTAGATGAGTCAGTGTCCTTGTACTTTGATTTAATTTACATTCTAAATTCTTTGATATGAGTTGTTTGCATTTGATCAGTCGTGATGATGATCGATTGTTTACTGTTATCTGTTGAGATACATTTTATAGATTATATAACCAGACTCAGCTATTCCAGGAACTACATTAAACTATAATTTATCTTGTCTTCAGCATTGCCGCGTCTTGAAGGTTGAACTCCACAATTCCGCAGTTGCACCATTTTCTGGGGCGTGACAAGGCTGGGTTAGGTTTACACTGTAAACTTGGTTAGGTTTATCATTGCAAACTGGGTTAGGTTTGTCATTGTAAACTTGGTTAGGTTTATCATTGCAAACTGGGTTAGGTTTATCATTTTAAACTTGGTTAGGGTTAAGAATCATCTGAGAAAACAGCCTGTGAGATAGCACTCCTCGTAGTAGTAACTCGTACTTCGCCATACGATATATATTACAATAGGGGGTGGGGGAGTTGATTGGGAATATAATCTTGGTTTATTTATTAACGGTAATGTTTCGAATGGAATATATCTAAAAATAACCTTGATCGAATTTTTATTACCTGAACGGTCCTATGTAAACCCATCTGCAGTAGCTACGTAATTATTCAATACCTCAACTCAACAGCAGTCATTTCACAATGCAATATCTTTATTAAATTTTGTTTATGTATAGAAAATACACACGACCCAGCATTATCCGGTACGTTAAGTAACACCTATTTAATCTGATGATTGACTCCTGACTGAACATCTCAAATGTGGAGCAGGTGTTCTCTCTGGAGACTCTGTTCTCCATTATTCCACATATTCATGTGGAATTCTTGTACCTTACCTTTTTGAGTGCAAGCTTATTGGCTACTCAACCACGGAGCCTTATTACTACTTGCTATTTTCGGAGGGTTAGTTTAGATATAATTATCATTGTATACAATTGAGCTCTGCTAAATTCACACGAACTTGCTGTTTACGAGATGCTTCCCACACTCACCTGTAGTGCTCCAGTGAGATATTCCACCCTCCATTGTTTATAAGGTTTGAAACAATGGAGGGGGATAATAGCAGCTGCACCAAGTATAGCTATTACTCGGGCACTGGTGGTTTATTCATATAAGCATGGTTACCATCCTTAATGATAGCTTATTTAAAATAGCTGATCAGGGGATGTGCATATGGAGGAAGTAGTTTGAAGGATGCTCTTGACAGACCAGATGCAGGTCACATTGTTATAATGATAATATCCCACCATTAGCCAGTAATCCTACTCATTGTGAGGAGGTACTCCCTGCTTCTCCTCCCTGTTCCATTAAGTTTACTACTGGCAGTACTACTTCCGGCACGCTTGACAATGTGGCCCAGTGTAGGTTGCTATGACAACGTGGCGCAGGTCGCTGTTATACAGCCAGTTATAGTGATATTCAGCTGACTCATTTTGTCATATTGGTTTCTTTGATCTTCTACGATATATATTAAAGTATTAATCACATAGAATCTTATTTTGACTTTACACCATTGATTAGATTTTAGATTGAGATCCAATAAACAAACGTTGTGGTCCTCTTACGTCCTGCCCCAGTATTAAGTTCACCTTCCGAAAGATCGAGAATCAAGCTTCAAAATTTGTTATCAATTATACATACCTACATATATTATATGCCCGTAATTTTGTAACATTCTTGCCAAACTTTGAGCCCATTTTCCTTGAATCTCTGGCTTTTGCTTTTGAAGGTGACTCTAGTTAATCCATTTTACTGTGCGTAAACTGCATTCCGCGTGTTTAGAAATATATGCAGGCATGAATGAGTTTATAAAATTTCCTACCCTTCGCTATTGATTTCATTGATTTTCAGATATCTTCAAATAGTTGTCAGAAACCGGATAATTATTCCAATTACCATAAATATTCATGACTCATATCGGCGATAACAAATAAATCATTAAGTGTATCTTCGTTTATCACTGAATGGGTAATTTCATTGCTCCTCTACTGTCTACATTTGATCATCCTCTTCAACATTTCATGGATAAAGTTCATGATCTGGATATTGTGAGAGTATGGTACGAAGTTATATGTGGAATTTCACGTGGTATTATATGTGTGGTATTCGAATATCTTAATCTTATTTTAAACAAATTTCAACATATATTCTATTGCAATTGATTACATTAGTTGAATATTTTATGTTCAGCACTTTCTTTACGGTCTTAACTTTGTGTTATCTAGGAATGGTTCTATAACCTTTGTGATGTGTGGTTTTCACGATTTATTCTTACACACAACAAAGTCCATCAAATATTTTTTAGCTTCATTCTTTTCTGCCAAGTCAATCAATTAAATTTCTATTATAAATTTAGTGCCATTGTAACTGCAATCAATTATATCATTATCTAATTGTCAAATCACATCATTACATCGACCCTAAATTCGTTTTCCAATAATTGAAATTCGATTATGTTTTAATAAACACGTTTTGTCAAACAATAAGGAGTATTTATCATTTTTGTATCGGATACACGGAACGTTCTTTAGTTGTTTAAAAGTTGCTCCATCCACACCCAAATATTCAGTTCACTTTTTACCTCTTTACCTACCTTCGATTGATAAGCATTCTTGTAAATAGCTAAAATCAGGTTGAATTTAGAAATATTCTTTTATTTGATTTGTTTTTTAACCATCAAACGGATATCAGCTTACAAAGTACATAATAACTTGTACTTTTTATTATTTTTCTTTCATCGTAACCCAATCATATTTTATCATTTTGAAAAACAAACCATAGCCGCGTTAAAAATATTTTAACCGTCAAAACTCTAATTTAAAATATCCACCGGTTGTAACTGTAAGTTAAAACTAAATAATGATTGTTTAATAATGTTTACAAGAGGGTCTGTAAAAGTAAAACACCCATTTCTAAAGCTATAAAGAAGGAACAGTATACCCAGCTACGTGCTCTCCCTCCCTCCCTATCTGAATACAATCCTGGCTAGTGTGCTGTGCTTGTGCTTCCTGGTGGTTGTTTGCCCGGTGCTAGGTTGGAGAGATATCTCTGCCATTAACACTGAACAGAGTTGTAAGTTGTCTGCAAACTACAGTAAACTACAGCAAACTACAAGTATCACGTCATGTAACGTGGTAATTGTAATGACACAAGGACTTAATCAATATTTATAATTAGGGTCATTTTCATCCCTGACAATCATTTCCTTCATCCCTGACAATCATTTCCTTCATCCCTGACAATCATTTCCTTCATCCCTGACAATCATTTCCTTCATCCCTGACAATCATTTCCTTTAGCCTTAAAGGGTTTTACCAGTCCATTTTCCCTCAGATAGCCAATTCCTGCGGGGTAACTGGGGCCGGATCTTTGTGAGGGAGGTGCAGAACTGCTACGAGGCTACAAATGAAAGCGTAATTGTGAGCACTGTCTGTAACCAGACCGACCTGAGGCAGGTGTGGAGACTCAATGACAGGAAACAGATCGTCAACTTCCACTTCGGGTGAGTTTTACTTCTGATTAACGGGTAATACTCATAAAATATTTGTTTCAAATATTAGAGCTGACCGTCGACGAGTCCAACTCGGCGCGCGTCTTGGTAGGTTATAAACCTACAAACGTCTGAGAGAGGTGCTACAACTCTACCCCCCCCCCCCCTACAACACTACCCCCCCACAACACTACCCCCCCCCCCCCCCACAACACTACCCCCCCCCCCACAACACTACCCCCCAACACTACCCCCCCCCCACAACACTACCCCCCCCCCACAACACTACCCCCCCACAACACTACCCCCCCCCCCACAACACTACCCCCCCAACACTACCCCCCCCCCACAACACTACCCCCCCCCCACAACACTACCCCCCCCCCCCCCCCCCACAACACTACCCCCCCCCCCCCCACAACACTACCCCCCAACACTACCCCCCCCCCCACAACACTACCCCCCCCCCCCCCCCACAACACTACCCCCACAACTCTACCCCCCCAACACTACCCCCCCCCCCCACAACACTACCCCCCCCCCACAACTCTACCCCCCCACCCCCCCACAACACAACCCCCCACAACTCTACCCCCCCAACACTACCCCCCCCCCCACAACACTACCCCCCCCCCCCCCCCCCACAACTCTACCCCCCCCCCCACAACACTACCCCCCCCCACAACACTACCCCCCCCCCCCCACAACACTACCCCCCAACACTACCCCCCCCCCCCCCCCCACAACACTACCCCTCCCCCCCACAACACTACCCCCCACAACACTACCCCCCCACAACACTACCCCCCAACACTACCCCCCCCCCCCACAACACTACCCCCCCCCCACAACTCTACCCCCCCCCCCAAAACTACCCCCCCCCCCCCCCCACAACTCTACCCCCCCCCCCCCACAACTCTACCCCCCCCCCCCATTACCTCACTCATTGTTTTATTATAAAGTATAAGATGTCTGGTGGTCTCATCAACCTGGTAATAATAATAATCCACTTTAAATATAGCTTTACTCTCAATTCACAAACAATTTAAGAAATCATCATTTATGATCTCATCCCTGATTAATTTTATTTTTCGATAAAAAATCCAAAGTAAAACGATTTCTCTGATCGTTAAACTTTCTCGAGAGTTTTAATAGATGGCAGTTAAGTCTAAAATGGATTTCAGCGAGAATAATCAGATTATAAGATTATAAGATCGTTGAAGAAATGTGATACAAATTAGTGTAATTCTTGGTTGATGCTCAAAATAAGCGTAACTTTAAACGATCTAAATAGTAATACTAATGGAAATTAAAATTACCTTTCACTGGATCACAACTTATGTATTAACAAAATTAGGATGAAAATAATTCATTAAATACCTCATTTTAATGGCTGGGTATTGATATACCAATATTTTATAGTAAAAGTATTACCCATTAAATAGCTTCAAAGGGGTTAAAAGTTCCCAAAACAAAGCTCTTCAGATTTTAGCTCTAAATGTCACTACAAAGACTAATAGGCTGTGTTTGACCCCCCCTCCCTAATTGAATGAGCAATATATTCAGGCTGTGTTTGACCCCCCCCTCTCTAATTGAATGAGCAATATATTCAGGCTGTGTCTGACCCCAGTGAACCTGGACGGGCGTGACCCAAAGCTGTTTCTGGACAAATGTACTGAGAGTGAGGCCCAGAAGTGGGTAGCATTATCTCAGTCTCTCAACGATTTTACAATACAGAGCTCCTCTCTACAGCAGTGCTTAGATGTAAACGGTAGGTTTACTGTAATGGTAGGCAACCTAACTTTACCGCTTTCATTCTTTAATTTTAAACAAAGTACCATTGAAAATGCCTGCAACCATATAATTCCCATTTCTCAACCTACCAGGATATGCAGTGAGACGTACCGAGGCGGTTCAACTGGGGGTATGTGAACCTCACTTCGACGATTTTGGGAGAATATCCGACCAATACCTGCAGTTTGAAGTTTCCTACACTCAGATCCGTGCGTTAACACCACTAAAATAATAAAGTTTCTAGCTTATAGTCCCTAAATATTTACATTTATGTTAAAGTTCTGATCTTCCTTTAATAGATATTATAACAGGTATTATAACAGGTATTATTACAGGTATTATAACAGGTATTATAACAGGTATTATAACAGGTATTATTACAGGTATTATAACAGGTATTATAACAGGTATTATAACAGGTATTATAACAGATATTATAATAGGTATTATAACAGGTATTATAATAGGTATTATAACAGGTATTATTACAGGTATTATAACAGGTATTATAACAGGTATTATAACAGGTATTATAATAGGTATTATAACAGGTATTATAACAGGTATTATAACAGGTATTATTACAGGTATTATAACAGGTATTATAACAGGTACTATAACAGGTACTATAACAGGTATTATAACAGGTATTATAACAGGTATTATAACAGGTATTATAACAGGTATTATAACAGGTATTATAACAGGTATTATAATAGGTATTATAACAGGTATTATAACAGGTATTATAACAGGTATTATAACAGGTATTATAACAGGTTTAATTACAGGTATTATAACAGGTTTAATTACAGGTATTATAACAGGTATTATAACAGGTATTATAACAGGTATTATAACAGGTTTAATTACAGGTATTATAACAGGTTTAATTACAGGTATTATAACAGGTATTATAACAGGTATTATAACAGGTATTATAACAGGCATTATAACAGGCATTATAACAGGTATTATAACAGGTATTATAACAGGTATTATAACAGGTATTATAACAGGTTTAATTACAGGTATTATAACAGGTTTAATTACAGGTATTATAACAGGTATTATAACAGGTATTATAACAAGTATTATAACAGGTATTATAACAGGTATTATAACAGGTATTATAACAGGTATTATAACAGGTATCATAACAGGTATTATAACAGGTATCATAACAGGTATTATAACAGGTATTATAACAGGTATTATAACAGGTATTATAACAGGTATTATAACAGGTATTATAACAGGTATTATAACAGGTATTATAACAGGTATTATAACAGGTATTATAACAGGTATTATAAATCAAGAGGCTTGCATATAATGAACATATTGACACGGGTGCAGAGTTGAGTCTGTACGGAACCTAGTAGTTTCAGATCCTTGTTTAACTTGCCGTACAGCAAGGTCATCCACTACTGTAGCCCGGCGAGGCACATAACTCCCTCTACAACTCCATGACAAATGTTTCATATATACTAGCCGAGTTCACAAGTTATATCCTTGTGTTTGAGAAGAGCTCGTTAGAACTGCTTCTTTTCCCTTCAGTATCCCACAGTCTCTCGAGTTTCGTAACTGCCAGAGAACTCTCTTAAACAATTACTAGACTCGGTGATTATAAATCAAGAGGCTTGCATATAATGAACATATTGACACGGGTGCAGAGTTGAGTCTGTACGGAACCTAGTAGTTTCAGATCCTTGTTTAACTTGCCGTACAGCAAGGTCATCCACTACTTTATAACAGGTATTATAACAGGTATTATAACAGGTATTATAACAGGTATTATAACAGGTATTATAACAGGTATTATAACAGGTATTATAACAGGTATTATAACAGGTATTATAACAGGTATTATAACAGGTATTATAACAGGTATTATAACAGGTATTATAACAGGTATTATAACAGGTATTATAACAGGTATTATAACAGGTATTATAACAGGTATTATAACAGATATTATAACAGGTATTATAACAGGTATTATAACAGGTATAATAACAGGTATTATAACAGGTATTATAACAGGTATTATAACAGGTATTATAACAGGTATTATAACAGGTATTATAACAGGTATTATAACAGGTATTATAACAAGTTTAATTACAGGTATTAGTATAACAGATGCAGTTGTGAGTCAGGGGGATGCTGCTAAACTGTCATGTCAGCTACAAAACACACCCAAAGCACCAGATTACGTAATGTGGACTAATGGAAGGGTTCAAATAGAGGAGTTTACTTCCCGGGCTGGATATGGAATATCTGTAAGTTAATTCTTATCACATGTTTTATACATCCTGGGCTGGATATGGATTGGTCAAGAATAAACAAATTTATCCATATTTTAACAATACTAATATTTTAATATTTAGACAGGAGTATTCACGAACAACTCCATGCTGTCCATCCTAACAGTAGATAGAGTGGAGGGATAAACACTACCCCCCCCCCCCCCCCCACAACACTACCCCCCCCCCCCCCCCCCCACTACAACACTACCCCCCCCCCCCCCCCTATATTTTAACAATACTAATATTTAGACAGGAGTATTCACGAACAACTCCATGCTGTCCATCCTAACAGTAGATAGAGTGGAGGGATAAACACTACCCCCCCCCCCCCCACAACACTACCCCCCCCCCCCACTACAACACTACCCCCCCCCCCCCCCCCCTATATTTTAACAATACTAATATTTAGACAGGAGTATTCACGAACAACTCCATGCTGTCCATCCTAACAGTAGATAGAGTGGAGGGATAAACACTACCCCCCCCCACAACACTACCCCCCCCCCCCCCCTCACAACACTACCCCCCCCCCCCCCCCCCCCCCCCCCCCCTCACAACACTACCCCCCCCCCCCTATATTTTAACAATACTAATATTTAGACAGGAGTATTCACGAACAACTCCATGCTGTCCATCCTAACAGTAGATAGAGTGGAGGGATAAACACTACCCCCCCCCCCCCCACAACACTACCCCCCCCCCCCCCCCCCCCCCCCCCCCACTACAACACTACCCCCCCCTATATTTTAACAATACTAATATTTAGACAGGAGTATTCACGAACAACTCCATGCTGTCCATCCTAACAGTAGATAGAGTGGAGGGATAAACACTACCCCCCCCCACAACACTACCCCCCCCCCCCCTCACAACACTACCCCCCCCCCCCCCCCCCCCCCCCCCTCACAACACTACCCCCCCCCCCCCCTATATTTTAACAATACTAATATTTAGACAGGAGTATTCACGAACAACTCCATGCTGTCCATCCTAACAGTAGATAGAGTGGAGGGATAAACACTACCCCCCCCCCCCCCACAACACTACCCCCCCCCCCCCCCCCCCCCCCCACTACAACACTACCCCCCCCCCCTATATTTTAACAATACTAATATTTAGACAGGAGTATTCACGAACAACTCCATGCTGTCCATCCTAACAGTAGATAGAGTGGAGGGATAAACACTACCCCCCCCCCCCCACAACACTACCCCCCCCCCCCCCCCCCCCCCCCCCCCCACTACAACACTACCCCCCCCCCCCTATATTTTAACAATACTAATATTTAGACAGGAGTATTCACGAACAACTCCATGCTGTCCATCCTAACAGTAGATAGAGTGGACGGACCCGGGTCCTGGACCTGCATGTTCATTGTGGACAGGAACAACTTCTCGGCGGTTTCTGAGGTCGATACACCCAGTACGTTTTTATTCGACTATTTGAACTAATGGGTTATTTATTTTAACATGCAGTAAGGAATTAAGACAGTGATAATTTTAATAAATTCAAGTTGTTTTCAGAGGACCATCTGCATTCTTCACAATTTCAGCTCAGAACTTGTTAATGTTTGGTGGTCTTGTTAAACTGATAAAAATGTATTCCCAGGTGTTGTGTGTGATGGGCTAGCAGGGGAGACCTCAATGACTGCCTCTATGAAGTGCTGTTATACTGGAAAATATGAGCCTACTAAGATATTTTGGTAAGTAACTATGGTAACTGTTTTGGTAAGTAACTAAATAGAAGAGATGGTGTGTTGGAATGTTGTGAACCCCAGCAGCTTTCTTCCATCACATCAAGAATAGAGTATGAATTTATAACCAGTAAACACTCCGTTCTTCACGAGTATCCGCGTTTATACTTAATACGTTTATACCCACATTATTATTGGTAATATTAGCAATATTATATATATATATATAGTATATATATATGAAATATATATATATATTTTCAATAACCCCTCAGGCAGCGACACGGAAAGACAGTTAAAGAGACCGCCAGATCGTACCAAATAACAGCCACAACGTTTGATAACCGAACTCAGTGCAGCTCACTTCATTTCCCGAAGACGTCCAGTAGACTCACATTCAGTATTACCTTCCAGACAAAGTTTAAATCTATCAGTAAGTCATTTCTAGTATACATTCAGTATTACCTTCCAGACAAAGTTTAAATCTATCAGTAAGTCGTTTCTAGTATACTATTACTTTTTGTCATTTATAGTATACTATGTATTACTTTTTATCATTCTATTCATAATACTTTTCTATTAAATTTGATGATCGACGGAACAGATGATGGTAAAGAAACACACTGTTTCCATTTCTGCTTATGCGTTAAATTTGATTATCAAGTCATATATAAAAAGTAACATGAATTTATACGAGAGATGAGTGAAATTTTTTAACAAAGAGAGAATATGAAAAAAAAGAAGACTGAGGAGATATACAATTTAACTAATTTCAATCGTCCAAATAACGTCACTTTTAATAAAGACATTCAAGGTATCCTTCAAAAAGCTTTAGTATACATTCCAAGGCAGGATTGTGCCTATAATGTTGCTGGACACTGATTACACGTTTTTTGGCAATTTGCCTTCATCCATTTGCTTTTACATTTTTTGCCATTCTTTAGTTTCTTTGCACACTTTTTAGATTTGTTTTTACACTTTGCTAGCTCCTCCGGTTCTTCTTCTTCCTCTGAAAATATTTATAGTTAATCAAGTAAACAGTGGAGTCATCTTCTCCTTGTCAGATAGTTGTCAAAGAAATTTAAGCATTTGCTGTAAAGTAGACATTTTTCTAAGATCATTAACATTAAGAAACTAACTTTGTGTTAGGGATGTAGGAAGAGGGGGGGGGGCCAAAGCGCGTGCTAAATTTGAATAACTCTACGATTTTTGCCCCCTGCTCTGTCTCACTAAAATCAACTACTTGTCATGATTAAAGGAATGTAAAATACAACTTATTGCTTCATTGGAAACTTATTGTTTCATTGATTTCAAGAGTTGTATCGAAATGACCCTAAAAACATACCTTCAACACATCGTGGTTCTGTTTCGTATGAGTACTCATTTTCACTGACACAAGTTACAGCAGTATCACCCGTCAGAACGCTTCCTCTCTGACAACCGACTGTGATCAATGTACCGGCACTAACCGGAAACACTGCCGAGGATGTTATCTTCCTGATTACCGGCAGACTGGAGCATGTTTTCTCGCACAACTTGCACGTGTTCTTGCAGAGCAGCTTCAAGTCAGAGGACCCAGAGCATATAGCAGGAGTGCACTTGAGGTACTCATCGGGAGTGTTTGGGTCACACTTGCAGTCCCCGCACGTGTTGGGACACGCCGCGCGCTGTTCTGCTCCTTTACACACGCTTGTACCTCTACTCCGACAGAAAACAGACTTGTCCCTGCATGACTGTTGTGGTTGGTAGAGCTCCTGCATTTTCTGCATATCCTCGGTACCAAGTTTCTGAATTGTATGCTTTCTGTCCCCTCCATAATGTGCGAACATTACTTGTTCTGGAAACTGTGAGTGTGACAATCCCAGAGAATGCCCAAACTCATGCAACACAATCGCATAAAGATTAGGCATCACAAACTCACTTTCTGTGATATACTTTTCCTGTAGATTATTTTTATCAGTCCATGTCATGAAGGAGTTCAGATGGATGTCCCCGAAGTGGATTGCATGGCCAAACTGACCCCCACACGGAATGAAGTCCAGGTCGAGTTTCAGGGTTGGGTCCTTATGTTCACATGGCAGGAAACTAACACGTATGTTAATAGTTGGGTCTGATTTCTTTTCTTCCTCTGACAGTGCATCCTAGGGCCTGTCGTGATATCATGGATCGCTTAGGTTCCACCAGGATCTGGTAGTCCTCATAATTCTGCGGCCTCTATGTGTCGTCATCTCGCACAACTCCGAAAAACCGTTGTGAGTTTGGCATGTGAAAATTTGCAGCCCTCCAGACATCGATTGGGTTAACAAGTTGTCGTACGTCACCTCAAGATCGGGTGACAGGGGGCTGAACAGGCCAGAACCCAATTGATTGGGTCTGAGGTCACGTGATTATGAGCCTGAGGTCACGTGACTATGACGTCACCAGAGCTCGTTCTCCGTTTCCCGCTCTTCGGACCAGGTGAGCTTGCATGCTTGTGAAAGTGGGTGTAAGACGTAAGTACAGCTGTACTGTAGTTACATCCAATTACCCCTAATATAACGAAGATTTATTTTCTGACAGAAAGCTAGAAATTTACCAAAATATCGACTTTATTCAAAATTTATTTTGATGACCACTCCTGACCTAAAATTGCACGAGAAATCGATTAAACTTGGTTTCAGAACTCAACAATGCTTCCTTATGCCTTAAAATCCATTTTTATCGATACAATAATTATTTAAATTGCATCCACATTAATTAGCCTGAAAATAGGTGGACGAAATAATTTTAGTATAATTTGTAAGTTCACTAGAATAAAGTTCCCAGTAAAATAGCATTTTTCTTTAAAAAGTTTTTATGATGTAAAATTCAGTGCTGGAAGGTATTAACATGTATTATGCTGTATGACTCACAACACGTTGGCTCGAGGGATGCTGTTCCATTCTCCTGCTGCTGCATCAACTATCTTGCTCACATCTGCTACCGTTAATCCATCGCTGCATTCAGGCATGTTTTCAATCTTGTAAAGAACTTTTTTTCCCCTCCATCGCTTTGCCCCAACTGACCTCGATTGTAGCTGAAGGATATCTCTAGCTTCCTCGACATCGTCATTAAAGTTTTGGTTCGAAATCTTTGTTTTCTTGATGCAGTTTTGGCTTCTTTGAACGACGACTGTTTCTGCGATATTAAACGAGACTAAAATTATGGATGTAATCAAATTCAGGATAAACAGCCGTGATTTCATCGCATAGTCTCTAGCTGGGAAGAATTTAGTTCAAATCTTTAGATCGGCAACGCGAATATAAGACTATATGACTAATGACTATACTTGGAATGTACAGTTGTTGCAGTTTGGACAGTTACGTGATGTTGAATTGGGACGTGTAACTAATTTGCAATGACGTGGTGAAGATTATGTACAAATTGTACTGGCAGTCTATTCGATGCGCACAACACATTTTAGATGGGTTTCCCAAGGTTTAATGCGGCGATGCACACATTTAATTTGAAATGGTTATCTGAGGAATCCCTTATGGTATTATACTGCACATGCAATTGTTTGGAACAATCATAATTTTAGACATCCAAATTTAAGCTCAAAGAAAACAACAACATAAATGGTTATCAATAAAAAAGCCTCTCAAAATAGGAGTTGATGGAATCTAGAATTCGAATGGAAGACGTTTATTCAGAAACTGAGTAAACTTTTACTTGAGACTAAGTAAAAGGTTCGATGAGATGAAGTAACTGAAGGCACTGCAGTGTAGCCATCAACATTATAATGACGTCCCTCACCAAAGTTAGGCGCCCCAATTGTTAAATAGTAATTATCTTACCTAACTGAACTCCACTCTCTTTGTGGATCATACACCTAGAAATAGTTAAATAGTTAAAGGTCCCGATATTCGATCTAGGCTCTGACACGTATCAACATACCTACTAGTCATAAGTCGGGCAATTATTAATTAGCAAGGGACATTAAATAATAAATTAACAGAATATGCTGGTGCATAGTTCTGTGTGTAGAAAGTATACGAGCTGGTGTAGAAAGCCAAAAAGAAAGATACATTTGGGGTTAATTTCAATAGCTCGCAGAAAACAAAAAGGTTCCAATTTGATGAGGCGAGGTTCCCTTAGCACGACGTTGTGCAAGAACAACTTTTATTTAATATTCTCATTCTCTGTCTAGCCACGTCAACTGATAAAATTACAAATATTGAAATGATAAACAAAAGCTGGCTAGAAGAGCATGGACCACACTATAAACTCAAAATGTGCATTATTCTCAGATCGCCAGCTAAGTAAATTTTCAAAAAAGCAGTTTCTCAGACGATGATAATATGTTCATAGCAAGCCAATAATAGTTCAATGCTACATTCACATGACAATAGCGAGAGAGTTTTGTTAACACAGGTAACGGAAGAGATTAGTTCTCTTCCATACCCCAATTAGAACCGCGGGAGAAGTTAAAGGGGAAAATATATTCTAAATTCTTGTGTTTTGAACTTATAGATGATATGTGATCAGGTCAGACGATGATATCAGGGCCGATAGTTGTTTTCTCCACGTCTCCTCCGTGGCGGTCTGCTGACAAAACTACCTTCCCAAGTTACCGGGTCATTAATGATGTGGAGGATCAGGAGAATGTGGTGGACGTTAACAACACAAACAACGCTATTGAAGATTCGGTAAATTACCTATTGAAGCTGCAAAATCTGAATTCATTTATTCTTTGACATGTTTAATCAACCCGCATTGAAATCGTCACAAAATTACATGTCTAATTGAATCTAAAATAAACTCTATGAAACTTGGACGTACTGACTTTTTATGTTTTTATGTCCAAAAAAGTTCCGTTAATTGTATGCTTATTAAGTTAACGTACTCACCGTTAATTGTATGCTTATTAAGTTAACGTACTCACCCCAAACTTTCAGATCAGAAATGGAGCTGATAGTCTGCATGGAACATATCTGGTAGCAGCACTGTTCACCTTTCTCTTATCTGTAGCCACCTGAAACAACTGAACAAGTCAGTCTGAAACTGATTACCAATCCACGCTTCAAGAGATCAAACGTTGTGTTCATACAACCTGTTCCTTCCGAGAATGCGATCCAAAGATTGGGACTAGTTGGACAGGGTAACGTGGGGGATAATCCACGGGTCTGAGCCAAGCTTCCGCTTATATATTTTGTTTCAAGCGTGACAGCACCCTGCATCAGTATAAATTGTTCAGAAAATTCATTTGGATGGTTTGAGGTCAAAATCTATTAGAAATATATAGGACTCTTGATATTTATCAAATAATTGTACACACGGCTGAATAATCTGATTTTGTGTAGCTGATCGCACTCACTATAAAGGTGATGACCAATTGCCGTTATCATCGGTGCAAGTGAATGTTAGCACTTTCATTGGAGTCATGAACCGCCAATGACTCATTCAATGGAAGGTAATCAATGGGAACCTTCAGTCCTCTGCTAGCATCTTTTGGTGATTATCGTGAAGTTGAAGTCGCAGAAGATTTCATTTTTGCCATCGCCTGAATTCTAGCTAAGCGCTTAATCTAATGTCGTTATTTTTATCTAGATTGTGAACTAATCTACGATATTTGTATTTATTTTGAAAGATTCATAGGAATCGATACTTTTATGAGTAATCGTGTCCAACGGTTAAATAAATACAATTTTTATAATATTTACTACTTAACATGAAGCTACATTCACCAGAATCAACTGGTAGCTGGTATTTAATTGAACTTTTAAAATGTTAGAAATTTAAGAACGAGAAAAAAATTCACGTTCCAGTTTAGTTGTTTGCGTGAAAATTATGAACATACAAATTGTAACCGATAAAGAAAAAGTTTACAAACCAAACGGTGTTTTAATTTTAATTATCTAATTAATGTTATATTTATAATGTTTGTTATTTCTTAGTCGTCTAAGATTATTATGCGATTTTGAAAAAATACGTTATTGGTGCGAAAGAAAAAAATGTGTCTGTACACGTATTTACTAGATTTGTGTTATTATCCAAATTGAATCCTGACTCTTAAGTTTTCACTCCACCATACTCCAAACACAGCGTGAGTTCGATCCCTGAGTTGGGTAACTATGAGTACTATTACTTCTGAAAAAATCACATTTTTGAATCGCCGATCTCCAAATATATCTCTTTAATTTTATAAAATACCAGATCGAAACAAATTTTAACGAACGTTTCAGCTCTTTGAATTTTATAAACAATAAATCTTAGTTGGTTTTATTTTTACTCTTAAAAGTAGCTGGAAATCCTGACGTCCGGGGGAGGGGGCGGTTTTGAAAAATCGGACACAACCGGACAGGGCCGGGATCGGTTTGAAAATTTGCAATTTTGGCGGACGTCCTATATAAGTATAACATATAAGTAAATGCCATTGGTCCCTAATCATTATTTTAGCAATTTACCCCCCCCCCCCGGCCCTCCGCGGTAGGACTAGGCGTAATCAACCGTAATCAAGAGTCAAGAGTCAACTCCCCCCCTCCCCCTGATACTGACAGCAATATTACGTAATTAATCATGGCCCGGGCCCCCCCCCCCCTTTGAATTTTTCCCTAGAAATCATTTTTTTAAACGTTTCATGCTTGCTCTAACCAGAGCCCTTTCGTAAAACAAGCTCGTCACGCAGTACGCGTAGACACATGGCTATGTGAAATTCATGATGAGCCGATATTATTGTTATGATATCCGGCCAACTGCCAAGTAAGCACCTTTCAAACTATTTGATTGACGATGTCAACCCTTCCAGATCGTTGCTTTGTAATAAAGCAACGATATAGTCTTGCTTCGATGCGAAGCAAGAATACTAATTTGCGCGGCGTGTCAAAGCGGCAAAATCCTCCAATCAAACTATACCTACTATAGTCAAATATCATCCGATCAATTTCAAAATTTTATCACTATCAGAATGAAATTGAGTAAAATTTCAATTAAAATATTGTCCAATTGTTTTAGCTTTTTAATTTTAGGACAACCCCTTTTGATCGCGCGCGCGATCAAAAGGGGTTGCAGCGTCAAGCGTGAGTCAAATGTTTATGAACATTACAATCTGGGGTGAAGGGTCTCCGTGCATGTAATGTAAGCTGGTTTCAACATTCAACTGATGTTAAAATGTCCAAGTCCCAATTAAATACGTGTAATTAAAACGTGTAAAATGATTTAGCACGCTCAATTTCACTTTTAGATTTCATAAGTTAATTTTACCGATGTCGTTTTGAGCACAACTCGTTTATCAATATCAGAGCTTAAATAACCTGATCACTGATCTGTTTTATTTCTTAGATGCTGTAATCCCGTTGTCCTAAAAAGCTATAAAACAATGACCTCGTTTTGCAGTTTGTACATTGACATGGACAGTTAAATGACGGACATGTAATCATGGTTGTTCCTCATATTCGGATAAGAAATGTAAGCAGTGAACTTAAATTATAATAATGTGCACTGTTAGACAAATTAAATTCAATATTCGCCATTCACAGTTATTACGACAAATTCTAAAATACATAACATTAACGATGCAAAACGTAAACTGAAGACCAAAACAAAATAGTCAACCGTTATTCTTTCATCAACAAATTGGTCAAAAAACACATATTTTCAAAATTCAGAATTAACAAAATTAATTAACCGGACTTCTTAACCTTTATAATCAAATTCTTTGGGGGAAACTTCCAAGAGTTTAACTGCATCAATGTCTTTCCCTGAAAATACAGAAATTCGAAGTTAATTACGCTTTAAAAGGCACAAGTCATACTATAAATTACTACACTAAATTGTATTATTGCTAATTCTATTTATAACTTTCTATAAAGGGAATATTACTCATTTGGTGCGCTGCCAAGATTTCTAAACTTAAGATAAATAAATAATGTACCTTACCTTAATGTACCTTACCTAAAGGTAAGGTACATTATTTATTATGTTATTTACTTATCATATTATGTTATTTATCAAACACAAATCATCCTTCAATCCCAAGCTATCGCTCAGTCAAGTTTTAAATACTCATAGTCATAAATCAGGATCGGAGATTTTTATCGCAAAAGCTTGCATTAGTAACATTATATTATTTATTATGTTGTTTATTTATTATATTATGTTATTTATCAAACACAAATTATCCTTCAATCCCTGATTGAACTGATCAGTTTACTGCATACTGGTCAACTGGTGTTTCGGTGTCCCTAATTTTGTTTACACTCGGTCACTTGTCAAGGCATGTAAGGTCATTCGGCGATATTTTCTTTGAAATAAAATGATGTATTTGTGTAACAATTTGAAAGTTTATTGATAAAAAAAAGCTATCGCTCAGTCAAATAATTTATCGTAAAATGAAAATATCAAGCTGAATACACTTATAGTTATATGAAAGTTATGTATAATGTATAAGTTATAAGTTATAAGTTATAAGTTATGTATGATATATAATAATATAAGCAAGTACCTTCCCACTGCGAGCTCTTCATTCGTGACGTCATTAATTATTAAGCCTCGAGAATGTTGAATCTAGCGTTTAAACCAGTCCCAGTGTTTTTTGGATTACGCGCAGTTTGATCATCGTTTATTCCTGCGGGAATAAACATCAGAGTTGCAAATGTAACATTAAAACGTATAAATTAGTCCAACAAAACCCAAGTGAAGTATTTCAATACACAAAACACGTTATATTTTATATTAGTTCGTGGTTGTCAAAAAACTTTTTCACAAAGCTCCATTTTTTTCCTTGAACATTTAATTGTAATTAAATTAAATAGTGAAAAATTCAAAATGATCCTTTTAACGACTTCTTAATAATCTCAACTCTCATCGACCAATTAACAACACTAATTGTACGGAGCAAATTTTGACAAATTATGCAACTATTTGTATTTAGTATTTCAAAACTACTATACAAATTGTCAAATTATGCGATTTTGCACCAAAATAGTACTTGCTTCTAACACTAACCGATATGTCGACCAGGAAAGTTAACAGACATGAAGGAAACAGTTCCGTTCTTGTGGAAGTTGGGTCTAAACACGCAGTTCCGTCCCCCAGCACCCTGGTGGTTAAATGTTATTGTTAGTCATAATAACATAATAACACATAATCTTACCATTTAAGGGATTCCCATAATTAAATAGGGATTTGTAAATTCCAAAACTTCGAATGCCAAATTTATGCAATTTTTGAAATTTGTTGGTCAAGTGATTGATTGACGATGTCAATCCGTCGAGATCGTTGCTCTGCGAAGCAGAGCAACGATCGTCGAAGCAAGAATCGCGAAGCAAGAATGATAGTTTGCGCGGCGCGTCGAAGCGGCGAAGTCCTCCAAGTCAAGTGACAATTTTAGGAAGTTATAATTTGGCTAACAGACGCTTAGGCATCAAATGACATTATCAAAGTTAGACCAATAAAAGGCCTTTTGAGTAATGTATTCGGAGAAGTATCTGAAGGATGTTTTTAGTAATAGAATTACTCTAGTAGTAGAGGCTCTTACGGGCATTGTCTGCTCGATACGTTAGGGACCCCAGATACACCTTACTAGACGTATTTTTGACCGTAGAATCGATTGAAAGTGGTTTCAAGATGATTGGACTGATTGTTCTGGGGTAAAATCGCAAAAAACCGATTTTTGGGCCAAAAATAGGCCAAAAAACCATGTTTTTTGATATTTTGAGCAAGTTAATTTTGTTGGCATGTCGGCAAAACTTGCATAAAGATAGCTAAAAGACAGCCGCACAAGATTGTATAAAAATAAAACAAATCCCTCTATTTGTTCTGAGGTAAAAATCCAAAAAAGTGGTAAAAATTTTGACTTTTTTGCTTTAAGTTTGAATAATTTTTTGCAGTTGTATTAAATCAACCCAAAAATAGTCACATCGTGTTTGCCTAAATTTTTCCTTTCCGAGAAGTACCCACTTCATATACTTAATCGAAGTTTGAATATTGTCACTCCGCAAGCGTTTTTGCCAAATTTTCGACGCGCACTACGCGCAAAAGCATTTAGTTGTTATCAATTGGCACCCGCGCGTTCATCATAAATTTCAAACAGCTATAACTCAGCGAGATTATGTCCGTTCTAGCTCATATTTTCACACTAAATAGAAAATAATGTGATCTTATTGCTGACAAAATATGGATATAATTACTTTATTTGCCTTAGAGTAATAGACTGTCAAAGTTTAAAACGCGCATTGGTATAGCACGTGACTAATAAGGCCAAATTTATACTTCTTAACATATTATCGATCCTTAGACATCATACTATTGTGTCCAATTAGCGGTTAGGTCTCTAAACTCGTAGCAGAAAACACGTCTTTTTGCCCGTAAGAGCCTCTACTATAGGTACTTTTTAACTTCCGGCCCTATTTCGATAATTTCATTTAAAACATAATCGTTTGTTGGGCCAATTAACACCGCCTAATATTTTAATTGTCATTGAATGTTATCTTTATAATTATTGACTTTTGGCCTGAAAACTGCACAAATTTCAAAAATGAGGTTTTTCGAGGAAAAAACCTTTTTTGAATAAAAATATTTTCAGCCGAAATAAGGGTTCCTGGACCCTCGAAAAGAAATCACTTAGCAGAATATATGTGATAACCCGTTTTGGGCGTGTTTATAATATTGCCCTCATATATACTGATGATAATCCGTTGAAAATTAGGTGGGTACTCGAAGTTTTGAAATTTACATGGGGTGTGCTGCATGGTGCTGGGGTGTGCTGCATGGTGCTTAAGTGAACCAAAGACTAAAGTTTATAAATACATCAATTATAAGCATAATATCAACATTTAATACAGATCATCTAGTTTCCATTTATCCTGAACTTGCCCTGCTGACACTGTGTGTTTGGATTTTAGTAATAACACCGTTCAAATACTGCAAATTCTAACATTCTAACTTATTCTTACAGTGGTGAGACCGGTTTTCTTGATGGCCAGGAAGCGGTGAGGTTTGTTATCATTCTGAAGTCGGACAGTGCCATCGTGTTCGTTTCTCTGTACTATATAGGTTGCCCAACTCCCGTGACCTCCTGATCCGTGCACACGTTTTATTATTATTTCAATTCTCAGTGGTGATCTTCAACATAAATATTCTTAATCATCACTTACATAGATAAGTTTATATTTGAATTTTTTCACAAAGCAGCTTTACAATCAGATAGAAATTGTGAAAGCTTTTAGTTGACCTTTTGATTTTGATAAAAAGCAGCACATACCTTCTCCATCAACCTCATCATCTTCGTTAACTCTAACCGTACCACCATGTTCATGTTGGCTCTCCAAGTGAATCCTTGCTCCGTCATACAAAGGACAGTTCCCCCAATTCCAAAACGCACTAAGCAATAATGTTGTGAGTATTTCAAAACGTACTAAGCAATAATGTTGTGAGTATTTCCAAAACGCACTAAGCAATAATGTTGTGAGTATTTCCAAAACGCACTAAGCAATAATTTTGTGAGTATTTTCTAATTTTAACGGGAATCAATCGGGTAAATTTAAATTGAGCACTGCTTCTTTGCTTTCTACAGAAAATGAAGCAGCGAAAAGTTAATCAGTAGAATACAGTAACTACTGTGTAAGCGGCTGACTATGAAATATCAACACGAAGATATTTATAACACTCACGATTAATCAAACCAAATTCAATCCAATAATACTACATTTATTGTTTGTTAGTTTATTGGTCCTTATAAATGACGTATAAGGAACAAACCGACGACATAAGAAAAGTGGTCGGCGTTCTTTTCCTCTCCCCCGAATGAGTACCAACATTTTCCGTTCTTAGACTTGCCCGGAACATCACCCTCCCTCCGTATGTGCTACTACTACGTAATACTCGTCATCATCCTGGTAATTCACACTGTTATACCCATTCTAGACTAGTAATGCTAGTTCTAGTTCTAGACTAGTATTACTAGACTAGATCTAGGCTAGTAATATTAGGTGCTAGTAAGGTTGGTATAACCACCCTAGTAATGTTTCATACAATACTAGGCTGGACACAGCTACAACGAATAAGAACCAGCCCATGGTAATAGTAAATAGGCTGATTATCAGCCTGGTAATACCCTAGTAATATCAATCTAGAATGAGTCTAAGAGGTATAGTAGGTTTCTGAGAATGGCCCAAAGATAGATAAGTTTATATTCTCAGTTTAGATAAGTAAAACTAGCTACTTGTGATCCAAGTTTGAGGGCTCCCTCCGGTGCTTCCTCTTCTTCCCCCAGGGTAGGTCTGATCATCACTCCGTGACCATTAGAACTGATCCACTCGAAATCTTCACACTCATGCTCCTCACCCCCGTACGGGTACCAGCAACTTTCTCCGTTAGGCTTAGCTTTGCCTGGGTATCATAGTGCTGGTTACTCTCTAGAGTAAAAATAAAAATTGTGGTTTTTTCTTTTAAAATATCTTCAAATATCTGCTCATATTACGAAGTTATCTTTAAGTTGAATTAACACTATTTCTCGTTCTTGTAAAAGTATACACAGAAATGTAATTAGAAGAGTAAAGAACATGTAGGATAAACACTTCACCTGGTATGAGGCCGTTATCAGAGCGGGCTAGCACACAGTAGTAGTCTCCACTATCGTACTGATGACCTAACCTGTAGTTATAATTATCAAGTTATAACAAGTTATAAAGTACTCATTCAATTAAGCAATGGCAAAAAGCTAGAATGGTTCAAAATATGATTAATTAACCACGAGAGTGTTGGTTACCGGGTAAACACGAGAGTGTTGGTTACCGGGTAACCACGAGAGTGTTTGTTACCGGGTAACCAGAAGAGTGTTGGTTACCGGGTAACCACGAGAGTGTTGGTTACCGGGTAACCAGAAGAGTGTTGGTTACCGGGTAAAAAACGAGAGTGTTGGTTACCGGGTAACCACGAGAGTGTTCATGGTTACCGGTTAACCACGATAGTGTTGGTTACCTGGTAACCACGAAAGTGTTCATGGTTACCGGGTAACCACGAGAGTGTTGGTTACCGGGTAACCACAAGAGTGTTGGTTACCGGGTAACCACGAGAGTGTTGGTTACCGGGTAACCACGAGAGTGTTTGTTACCGGGTAACCAGGAGAGTGTTGGTTACCGGGTAACCACGAGAGTGTTGGTTACCGGGTAACCACGAGAGTGTTGGTTACCGGGTAACCACGAGAGTGTTGGTTACCGGGTAACCACGAGAGTGTTGGTTACCGGGTAACCAGGAGAGTGTTGGTTACCGGGTAACCAGGAGAGTGTTGGTTACCGGGTAACCACGAGAGTGTTGGTTACCGGGTAACCACGAGAGTGTTGGTTACCGGGTAACTACGAGAGTGTTCATGGTTACCGGGTAACCACGAGAGTGTTGGTTACCGGGTAACCACGAGAGTGTTGGTTACCGGGTAACTACGAGAGTGTTCATGGTTACCGGGTAACCAGGAGAGTGTTGGTTACCGGGTAACCACGAGAGTGTTGGTTACCGGGTAACTACGAGAGTGTTGGTTACCGGGTAACTACGAGAGTGTTCATGGTTACCGGGTAACCACGAGAGTGTTGGTTACCTGAAAGCGTGGTCCAGAACCCCATCACAACCTTCCGAGAACCTTAAACCAGAGCTGTCACGATCCATTTTACAGGTACCTGTATGAACAATATCAATATCATAATAATTTTAACTTTAAATACAGAATACTCTAGAAAGTAAGAGTTAAACTGTGACCCTGTCCTATTCTAGCTATTGATAAAAGCCGCCACTTTAACAAGGCTCCATGGTTTTATTACTTTTAATTGATACAAAGTTAAATTTACAAAATCAGTAATATTACTGGGCCACCAGCAAACATTAGCGTAACAGAATGTACCGTTAACAAGTCGAGAAAAGTGAACATTATCTGGTTTGTCTGACGGAGATGAAATATTTTACATAATGTTATTACTGATTACGAGATGATTTAACGCAATATTTTTTAGTTCACTGTATGAATATGGAATAATTCTCTGCTACTGCAAGCTCGGTAACTTCAACCAAAATATTTCTAAAGTCACTGGAGGTTGGCAATGTTCAAGCTAATAACTAATGCTCAGCTGCTAATGTACAACTACAACTATAATCTACACCACATTCCAACCTGAGCATGTGACTTTACGAACACATCTAACCCTAACTTTACCCCAACTTCATTTTAAACTTTATAGTCTATGGCCAACCCAAACGTGTCAGGGATTTAAGTTAAAATGGGTGAAATTTCTGGTACCCAGATGCTAAAAATTACCGTAAACTTAGATTTTCTAAAAGTTGCGTAAAATTTGGCACTATCCGTCGCGGAGTCGAGTCCGCGGCGGAGCCGCCGGACTCCGAGCGGACTCCGAGCGGACTCCGGCGGAGCCGCCGGATTCCGAGCGGACTCCGGCGGTGCTCCGCCAAAATGTGGACTAGTGGACTAAGCCACTAGGCGGACTCCGGTCCGCCGCGGACTCCGGCGGAGTGCTTGGCGGACTCCGCCGGACCTCTCCGCCAGACTTGAATCCGGCGGAGTCCGGCGGAGCTTGGCGGAGTCCGCCAGCTCGGCGGACTCCGCTCGGAGTCCGCCGGACTCCAACAGAGTCCACTGACTTCCGACCTCCGTCTTCCGACCCTCGGCTAAATTTGTCACGTGACATACAACATAGCATTTTGCAATATTGTGGTCAGATGAAAAGGTCGCTAGTGATAAACCTTAACCATTACCCTCACAATGTCAATAGTGTACAACTCTAGTCCTAACTTTGACCCTATAATGTATAAACGTTGACCCTAACCCTCCACCAAACCGTCCGCAGCGAAATATCAATGTCATTGACTGGTCACGTGACCAAAACAATTTTTACCCTACACGTTGCATGTGGCGTCATTCGGCCGGATCCCAGCAAGCAAAAATACGTCGACCATCACAGGACGACGCCAGCCAGCACTCTCTACGCTCTTCGAGCTCCGATCGTCCTGTGACGAAGTAAGGACGAAGCCTGAGGTCCTCAGGTAACATCGACCACCGATTGAAAATTCAAAGATTTTTTGACATAAAGGTCAAATGTAAAACTAAAATCTTGATGCTGATTGATTGACGACGTCAATTTTTGAGCACAGCGCGAGCGCATGCGGAAAAGGACCGCGTAGCTAGTCAAGATGTTGATAAATATTTGGCTTGTGGCGCGATGTGTTGCTCTAACTATAGCCCTCTCGCTTGCAGTAGCGCGCGACCGCCGGAAATGACTTGTGGAACAAGCGCGCCCGCAGCGGCGCGAAAGCACCTGGTTAGCTAAATGAACGCGATGTGCCTTGCATTGTAGGATGAAATCCTACTAGCTGACGCCACTCGCAGCTGTGATGTTCGCTGTAGTACGTCAGCGATCGAAATTTATACGCGTATCACCCGTTAAGATGTGCCACCCGACGCGCCACGCAATTTTTCTCGTTGCTCGTCGCACGTCGACGAACAACAAAGCTCGTTGCGACGCGCAATGAGCTGCCAGGCTAGGACATCGTCCTGGTCCAAATTTTGGCGAGCGCGAGCGATTTTCTCCAAAAATTTAATGAGGGCGCCGACTTCCACTCTGGCTAGGTTTCTTCTTATAGGGGGTGCACGATAAAAATAAAGTTGCTTGGATTTAAAAAATTTTTGTACCACTGTTTTCTAGAGACTGTGAGAATTTTCACAATACCAAATTTGTTATACCTTTTTGGAAAGATCAGTGAGTTTCGCCTAGGTGCCATATTTGATGGTGCGCGGCTTTTGGAGCAAAAGTAGCTGTAAAAGTCGCGTAATTTGACCAAATTCGTCCAAATTTGACCATTTTTGTCGTATTATTCGGATTTATCTTCAGTTCCTTAAATGAGATCATTCTGGAAATTGGCGACGACCTTCCAATTGGGCTTTCACAACTGTCCGAAAAATTTGGTGGATATCGGAGTTGATATAGTAATAAAAATGGGGCAAAATACGCTGCTTTTAGCTGTAACATAATGTGTGATGGTTGGATATGCTTTAAATTTTTCGGACACTTTCCTTGTAAGTTTATGAGTAAGCTTACCAATTTTTGTTGCAATTGGAGGTCGGGAAGGATACTCTATATCTATTTGTTTGAAGAAAATTGTGCTGGCCGAAATTAGCGCTAAAAAACCATCCTTCAGTCGGCACGCGCGGCTCACTGTCGATGGCGCACTACCTACTTCTTACCCAGCGCGCGTTCCTTAATGCTCGGTGAATTTTGCCGCGCCTCTGGTGAGAGAAACGACCTTGAGATTAGCTGGCTAAGTAACTGTAAGGTTTCTTCTATAACGCCCACTAGAGTCTAGTATAAACTAAACTCCACCGTACCAACTTGGCGTAGTTTGATAATATAATTTATTTATCATAAACAATAAAGTTTATGAGCTGATATCAGATATACCTCACTGCGCGCGCAGTGAGGGACACATAACATGTGGCAATTATTGACTTAATAACTGAGAAATTTTTAAAAATTGAATCATATCAAGATCAAGACTGGGGCACTCGTTTGGGGCACTTGTTTGGGGAACTTGGGGCACTCGTCTGGGGCCCTTGAGGCACTACATCAAAAACCAATGTATCTGATGCAATCGTCTGAGGCACTAATTTTTGATGCACCAAAAGATAATTTGGTCGCGCGCTACTGCAAGCGAAAGGGCTATAGTTAGAGCAACACATCGCGCCACAAGCCAAATATTTATCAACATCTTGACTAGCTACGCGGTCCTTTTCCGCATGCGCTCGCGCTGTGCTCAAAAATTGACGTCGTCAATCAATCAGCATCAAGATTTTAGTTTTACATTTGACCTTTATGTCAAAAAATCTTTGAATTTTCAATCGGTGGTCGATGTTACCTGAGGACCTCAGGCTTCGTCCTTACTTCGTCACAGGACGATCGGAGCTCGAAGAGCGTAGAGAGTGCTGGCTGGCGTCGTCCTGTGATGGTCGACGTATTTTTGCTTGCTGGGATCCGGCCGAATGACGCCACATGCAACGTGTAGGGTAAAACTAAAAACGCTTCCCCATATGAGATAATATGACAAAAATTGTTTTGGTCACGTGACCAGTCAATGACATTGATATTTCGCTGCGGACGGTTTGGTGGAGGGTTAGGGTCAACGTTTATACATTATAGGGTCAAAGTTAGGACTAGAGTTGTACACTATTGACATTGTGAGGGTAATGGTTAAGGTTTATCACTAGCGACCTTTTCATCTGACCACAATATTGCAAAATGCTATGTTGTATGTCACGTGACAAATTTAGCCGAGGGTCGGAAGACGGAGGTCGGAAGTCAGTGGACTCTGTTGGAGTCCGGCGGACTCCGAGCGGAGTCCGCCGAGCTGGCGGACTCCGCCAAGCTCCGCCGGATTCAAGTCTGGCGGAGAGGTCCGGCGGAGTCCGCCAAGCACTCCGCCGGAGTCCGCGGCGGACCGGAGTCCGCCTAGTGGCTTAGTCCGCGGCGGACACTCCGCCGAGCCGCCGCGGAGCCGCTCGGAGTCCGCGGCGGACTTTAAAGTCCGCTCGGAGTCCGCTCGGCTCCGCTCGGAGTCCGCCAAAATGTACTCAAGTCCACTGTAAATACATTTTGGCGGAGCACCGCCGGAGTCCGCTCGGAGTCCGGCGGCTCCGCCGGAGTCCGCTCGGAGTCCGGCGGCTCCGCCGCGGACTCGACTCCGCGACGGATAGTGCCTAAAATTTCATAGATAACAGTGGGTGTGGCACGCCACTCCTTCTTTCGCTATTGTTGTCATAAAATGAGAACGCTTTCAGTTAAGAACTCAACATTGTTGTAAACTGGTCTTAGTAAACTAACTAGTATAACTTTACGTGGTCTACGTGGCGAGAAAGTGGGCGTTCCTATCTATGACAGTCTACACTCACTAGTATCAAACGATCGGAAAGTGTGCCCCGATATCAAGAACAAAAAAAGGAGAGAAGTGCAATTTGGTTGTATCAGAAGCGTGTCTGATACAACAGTAAGGAGTGTGCCTTACTTTACTTCAACAATAAATATGTAAAGGAGAGAAGTGTGCCTCTACAATTTGGTTGTATCGGAAGTGTGTACTTTAATATGGTTAGGAACTAAAGTCAAACTTAATTAACGTGATTATCAAGTATAGCAATTGAACTTCCTAAAAGCCCCTGCTCATCGGACAGTAAGTATAGCGATTATGGTGTCAGAAGGGGGTATAAACATCGCACTAGTTAGAGGTTTCGGTCTAGTTTAGGTGGTATTGAATGAGAGAATCGATTCTTTAGTTTGATCATAACGACTGAAGGAATGAACACTACACATAGTGTAAAACTATACCTTATAAAGCAACAAGACTCTAAACAGCTCATCTCATGTATACTCCTGGCTTATACTCTTATAGGCCTCATGGTATAGTTGCTCTCAATACTCCAACAAACAGAATAATTTCATAGGTACAACCTTCAACTATAATGTACAATGTACATGTTATTGTTATCAATCACTCTAGCCATTAATATTAATAAGTTTACAAAGGGACTGACTGTGTACATTGAAATTTACCTCTAAATGTACCTCTAAATGTACCTCTAAATGTACCTCTAAATGTACCTCTAAATATACCTCTAAATATACCTCT